GCTGGCTGTCTATCTACCCCCTCCTTCTGCCCCCCTCCCTTTCTCTCTCTCTCTCTCTTTCTCTCTCTCTCTCTCTCTCTCGCTCTCCCTCTCTGCGTTCTATCAAACAATATCATGGACAAGGGGGTCATGGTTGGCTGGTGCTCTGGTGTGGTTTTCTCCTTCATTCCTTTCAAACATTTGATTCTATTGTCCTTATCTCTCTTCCTTCTTTTTGCGTTTGTTACTTTACAATTTACACCTCTAATCTTCGCCACGTAGATCTAAATCTATATCGAAAAGAACAACAACAAACAAATAAACTAACAAACAAAACAAAAACAATCATTGAACCCATTTTCGTATTCTACTTACTTTACTTTTTCTTTGTCATCCTCTGTTGCCGTTAAGCGTCGAGGGGAGATGCAGTTTTCTATGGTAGGCCAGCTCCGCAGCTCTTTCAGTTGATTTTCGTATTCGACCCCCAGAAATTGGAAGGCTGGCCAGTTGGGTTTTCATTTATGTGGACGAAAACGACAATTTTAAAGCAAATCTGGGACATGTTAGAATTGAGCACAATTAAAAAACCCAAAAACTTTAAGGATTTAAGTTGTGTCGGTGGAGTAAAAAAAATCAATTCATTTATTCGTTGTTAAAGAACTTTGGTGGAGTCACCTTTACCGCGGTAGTAGAACGTTTTCATCCTTTTCTTTCTCTCTATTGTCTTTCTCTCTTTCTGATTTCCTTTTTTCTGGTGGTGTGTTCTCCTTTTATTCCTCTCTTTTGTCGCTCTGTTTTTCTGACTTTATGTTCTCTCTGATGAAACGTTTACGTCCTTTTCTTTCACTCTGTTGTCTTTCTGTCTTTCTGTCTTTCTGATAGTATGTTCTATTTTGTGGTAAGTTTGCATTCTTTTCTTTCTCTCTGTCTAATACGATGTTCTTTCTGGTGGTATGTTTTCCTTCTTTTCTTTCACTTTGTTGTCTTTCTGTCTATCCCGTATGCTCTTTCTGGTGGTCGGATTTCCTCCTTTTCTTTCAATCTGTTGTCTGTCTGTCTATCTGATATGTTCGTTCTGGTGGCATGTTCTCCTCTTCTTTCGCTCTGTTATCTTTCTGTCGATCCGTTATAGTTTTCTACTGAATCGCATGGCTGTTGTAATGAACGCCCTTCTGAGTAAGGAGAGAGAGAGAGAGAGAGAGAGAGAGAGAGAGAGAGAGGGAGAGAGAGAGGGAGAGAGAGAAAGGGAGAGAGAGACAGGGAGACAGGGAGAGAGAGAGAGAGAGGGAGAGAGAGAGTGAGAGAGGGAAAGAGAATGTAAGAGATAAAGAGAGTGTGTGAGAGAGAGAGAGAGTGAGAGGAGAGAAAGGGATGAAGAATGAAGTCAAAATAGAGAGAGAAAGAGAGAGCGGGGAGAGAGAGGGGGGATAAAAAGAGAGAGAGAGGGGGAGGAGAGA